GCGTTCCCTGCTGCAGCAGGGTGCCAAGCCAGGTAAACAGCCCCGCTCATGCCCAGACCTCGCTCACTCCCCTTCCCTCGCCTCCCCCGCTCGCTCTCGCACCCCATAGCGTAAGACTGTTATTGGGGGATCCGCTAAATTCTTTCGAGTTGAAAAGGGTTCTGCAGCCAAATAAAATTGGGAAACACTGCGCTAGATGATGGAAAACGCGTCAAGCTCCCCCTGCACCCCTAGCTCCAGCTCCTCCCCGCACCTCATCCCACCCCTAGCTCCAGCTCCTCCCCGCACCTCATCCCACCCCTAGCTCCAGCTCCTCCCCGCACCTCATCCCACCCCTAGCTCCAGCTCCTCCCCGCACCTCATCCCACCCCTAGCTCCAGCTCCTCCCCGCACCTCATCCCACCCCTAGCTCCAGCTCCTCCCCGCACCTCATCCCACCCCTAGCTCCAGCTCCTCCCCGCACCTCATCCCACCCCTAGCTCCAGCTCCTCCCCGCACCTCACCCCACCCCTAGCTCCAGCTCCTCCCTGCACCTCACCCCACCCCTAGCTCCAGCTCCTCCCTGCACCTCACCCCACCCCTAGCTCCAGCTCCTCCCTGCACCTCACCCCACCCCTAGCTCCAGCTCCTCCCTGCACCTCACCCCACCCCTAGCTCCAGCTCCTCCCTGCACCTCACCCCACCCCTAGCTCCAGCTCCTCCCTGCACCTCACCCCACCCCTAGCTCCAGCTCCTCCCTGCACCTCACCCCACCCCTAGCTCCAGCTCCTCCCTGCACCTCACCCCACCCCTAGCTCCAGCTCCTCCCTGCACCTCACCCCACCCCTAGCTCCAGCTCCTCCCTGCACCTCACCCCACCCCTAGCTCCAGCTCCTCCCTGCACCTCACCCCACCCCTAGCTCCAGCTCCTCCCTGCACCTCACCCCACCCCTAGCTCCAGCTCCTCCCTGCACCTCACCCCACCCCTAGCTCCAGCTCCTCCCTGCACCTCACCCCACCCCTAGCTCCAGCTCCTCCCTGCACCTCACCCCACCCGGGGAAATTCTCTCTTCTCTCCCCACTCCCTGCCTCCAAGCCCAGAAAGTAACCAACACCCCCAGCTGGGCAAAGCACAACCAAGGCTACAGGGGAAGAGGTTAGGGTTTGATTCATGGCTATTTCCTTGGGACGTAAGAACATCAGAACGGCCACAAGGGGTCAGACCAATGGTCCATCCAGCGCAGATCCTGTCTTCCGCGAGTGGCCAATGCCAGGTGCCACAGAGGGGGTGAACAGAACAGGGAATCCTCAGGTGTTCCCTCCCCTGACTCGCATTCCCAGCTTCTGGCAAACAAACACCCATCCCTGCCCAGCCTGGCTGATTGCCATCGAGGGGCTTATCCTCCATGAATTCATCTAGCTCCTTTTTGAACTCTGTTATAGTCTTGGCCTTCACAACCTCCTCTGGCGAGGAGTTCCACAGATAGCATGAAGAAATACTTCCTTGTGGCTGTGTTAAACCTGCTGCCTGTTAATTTCATTGGGTGGCCCCCAGTTCTTGTGTTCTGAGGAGTAAAACACACCTCCTTAGTCACTTTCTCCACCCCAGCCCTGATTTTATAGGCCTCCATCATATCTACCCTTAGGCGTCTCTTCTTCAAGCAAAACAGTCTCAGTCTTAATAATCTCCCCTCTCACGAGAGCAGGTCCAGACCCCGCATCTCGTGTGTGGCTCTTCTCTGCACCTTCTCCAAGTCCAGTCTGACCTTTTGGAGCGAGGGCCACCCCATCTGCAGGCAGGATTCCTGGGGCGGGGTAGCCACGCATTGTTTGAGCTGCTCACAATTTGGGATGTGAATGGATAACCAGTTAACTGGTAAGCATCACCCTTACCAGGTGATGCTTACCAGTTACAGTGAATTGGCAGGGGCTGGAGCAGCAGCACCCCTCCCCCCCTCCCCCTGTCCCCATTTAAGCGATTAACTGGTTAAACATAACGTTTAACCAGTTAATCGATGAAAGGGGAGGTGACCGCAGGGACCACTCCATCATAGCTGGATTGGAGTGGCTCCCCCCCCACAAACAGGGCCTGCTCCGGCTGGGCTGGAT